CTCCGCCGCCCCGGCTGCTCGGCGCTCGCCGGCCGGGGCTCATGGCCTCCTCCCTCGGTGTGTGTCGCTCCTAGGATGGCGGAGGTACCGCCTGGGCCTAGCAGCCTCCTCCCACCACCAGCACCTCCGGCCCCGGCGGCCGCCGAGCCCCGCTGCCCGTTCCCGGCGGGGGCCGCCCTCGCCTGCTGCAGCGAGGAGGAGGAAGACGACGAGGAGCACGAAGGCGGTGGCGGCAGCGACCGGGACCGCGGCGGCCGGAGCCCGGCGAGCGGCGAGGCAGCGGCGGCCAAGGGGCATCCGTGTCTCCGCTGCCCGCCGCCGCCTCCACCGGAGCAGCAGCAGCTCAACGGCTTGATCAACCCCGAACTGCGACACCTCCGGGCGGCCGCCTCCCTCAAGAGCAAGGTCCTGAGTGCAGCCGAGTCGGCCACGATCACGGCCACCCCGGACGGGGGCCCTAAAGTGACTGCCACCAAAGGTGCCGGGGTACACACGGGCGAGAGACCCCCTCACTCCCTCCCCAATAATGCCAGAACTGCGCTCCCCAGCCCGACAGAAGCAGCGGCGGAGAGCGACCCCGCGGCGGCCCGCAATGGACTGGCCGAGGGCCCCGAGCTGGAGGAGGAGGAGGAAGAGGAGGAGGAAGATGAGCAGGTGCGACTGCTGTCTTCGTCCCTGACCGTCGGATGCAATTTAAGAAGCCCCTCGGGTCGGGAGGTCGAGCCCGGGGAGGATCGGACGATAAGATATGTCCGCTATGAATCCGAGCTCCAAATGCCTGATATCATGAGACTGATCACCAAAGATCTGTCTGAACCCTACTCCATTTATACGTATAGATATTTTATCCACAACTGGCCACAGCTGTGCTTCTTGGTAAGTGGATGGTATGAAAAGTGGGCGAGCCCAACAGAGAACCATGCGGGGCGAGGGAGTGTGAGGGCCCCAGAGTTGTGCCAGTGGATGCAATCCTGCATTTCATAGAGCCTTACATGTGAAGTGCACACATTCCTAGTTCTTTTAGTGGAACTGTCTGGAAGGTAAGACTTTGTGATCTGGACTAACTTGACACTGATGCAGCAAGCCCACATGATGCATGTTTCACTGTGGGGAGAAGAGGGTCCTAATGTCCTGTCTATATTAGCTTATAAACGTATTTAACCATCTTTACCCTCCGTTATCCTCTAAGCATTTCGCATTCATTTAATTTGAACATACTTCTCTTTGAGTACAGGCATTATTAATCTCTCAATTACTACCATAGTAGAGATTGTCTTGTCAGTCAACTTGATGTTGCCACATTGGAGAATTTAGTCTTACATATATGTTCAGTAATTATGGGGATTGTTTTCCTCTTCAACAGGACAATTAACTGTTGGAGCCAGCCTGCTTTCTGGTGCTTCATTGCAGAAGATGTTGCTAACACTGGTGGCTGGCTGAAAGACTCTTGAAACTTTGAACAGAATACCTTTCTGTGGATTGTAGGGAAATTTAAGTGTGAAATTGTTATTCTGATTCTTTTTTTAAGAAAATGGTCAAAGATAATCTTAAAAATTGGTACCACTAGTTTGTGTGGGGTATAATTTGTCAATATTTTTTTAGTTACATGTAGTTCAGATTTACTTGGTTATAAGACTGCCTGCTGCTCGTACCAGTAATTTCTTCACAGAAACACTGACCCAATTTCAATCTCTATGAACCTTAACTTAAATATTGACAGTGAGTATATGCTTTTGTATCATATACACACGTATTGTAATTGAAACATGCTTTTACAAAGGAGTGGTTTATGGTATGAGAGAAAAGCTACCACTGTTACTGGTTTTAATACTGACTTAGTTGCACTCAGTAATTCCTTGTAGTATGTTTTGACAACACTTTAAGAATTTGACAACATAACCTAAGCATTACTGTAATGGTAGTTTTGCTATTTTTTTGTGTTTAGTTTTACTTAAACTTCAACTTAGTACCATTGCTTAAAATTTATGTACTATTTCATGTTCTAGAAAACTGCTCATTCAAGGTTCTTGTATCGAAAGTTCTAAGATGTTCATGTCAATGAATATGGGAAAATGGCAGCACAATTACACATGTCACATCAGATGTCATTTTTAGCAGTTGTCATTGCTAAAAATTGTAGATTGACTTAATTGTAATGTAATCCACAAGGATATATAATTATTCGCCTTTTTAAACGGAAATAGGACTGGAAATGTGGTTTAGTGATGGTGGGCTTGCCTCACACATGAAGCACTTAGGGTTGATTCTCAGCACCACACAAAAAAATTCAAGTAGATGATTTTCTGTCAGTAGTATACATGTTTAATCATCTTATAAACCTAGACTTTTTTCAACTTGTCTGCTATTTTAAACTCTAGTAAACTTCATAAGCTGTAGTCTGGATTTTACATAGATACTCCCCAACTGAGTTAGTTTGTATTTTAGCCTTCGCTAGACAAAGTTAATGTTAAATTTTGAAGCTGTAGAAATTGAAATATGTACAGGTAGTTGGCCTATAAGATTTCCTAATACAAGTCTGAGTCTAGAAGGTAGTTGGCATGCTTTTAAATTTGAATTTCTCATAAGAACATCTTTTTTAAAGCAAGTACTTACTTTAAAAGGATATCTAAGAGGATCCTAGAGACAGTCTAAGACCAAACTTTTCGTTGTTGTTTGTTTAGTTTTGTTTCTTCCTTGAGGAAAAGAAAGAGAAACTATATAGGACAGAGAGGTAAAAGTAGAATGTAGGCTCATGGCCTTTTATTATGGTAACAAGATTTGGGAAAATGACATACCTTTGACCCATTTTATAAAACTCATTGTGTCACAAAGTTGACTTCACCAACATCAATCTCAAGAGACTAGAAACCTGCAAAATGTTTTTAGTTTTCATGAAAAAAACCTGCATGGGGTCACATGGAGTATATGAAGTTAGACTGTACAAAATTGTTAATATTTGATTAACAAAAATGAGTCTTTTTGTAACTCTTCCAGTAACTGTTGTAAAAATAGAGGTCTATACAAATGTAAGATACTTTCTGTGCTTTTACCTCTTCAGAGGTTCTGCCCTTAGAAGTTCTTAAATTTACCACTAGCAATATAATGTAGTATTTCCATTTGTTTGTTCTAAATTTAACTTGCTGCCTTCCTCCAGTTTTCTGTTTGTAGTGTTCTGGAATTTTAGAATCTATTTGACATGATGTATATTTTTCATAGTTTTATAGCCATAGAAACCATCCACCTTTTGGAGTTTAATCTTGTCAGAGATTTTCTGTCTTCATCCTTGTGAGGGAAAAAGACATTTAATAGGATGTGTTTTATGCAGAAGCTATAATTTAGAAAATTCAAGCAGTTTAGAGATTGCTATGCAAATATACTTAGCAGTACTTCATGAAGGATAAAAATACGTATTAATCTTTACTCTCAACATTTCATTAATAACTGTACTGGGATTTTATTTCTAGATGATTTATACAACTTGACTTTTATTTCTTTAGGTTCCTAATTGGGAAAACAATCTAAAAACTTAATATACTGTTTTTTTTTTTTTTGTCGGTCGTGGGCCTGGGCGCTGTCCCTCAGCTCTTCAGCTCAAGGCGAGTGCTCTACCACTTGAGCTACAGCGCCACTTCCGATTTTCTGGTGGTTTATTGGAGATAGGAGTCTCACGGTCTCTACTGCCCGGGCTGGCTTTGAACCTCGATCCTCAGTTCTCAGCTTCCTGAGTAGCTAGGATTACAGGCGTGAGCCACCAGCGCCCGGCTAATATACTAGTTTTTATTAACTTAGTTTCTGCTAAGTAAAGGAAGATTACTTTGAAATTCCTATTTTAAGAGTATTGGCTAGTTGTATTATGTTTAGTAGTGTTCTGGAATTTTATCTTTTATAGAGATGGCTGATTAACTGTAAGATGTATCTGGCCTATAGTTTTCTATTACAGATTTATGTAGATTTCCCTTTCACATGAGTCTAGTTTATGAGATTAGGTCAAAAAATTTTGGACATTTTAAAACTGCTGTAAAAGTGATGTACGAAGAGGTTACAATTATATGTCAGGTAATGACTACATTTCTTTTTGTGTGTGTGTTGGTCATGGGGCTTTGAACTCTGGGCCTGGGCACTCTTCCTATGCTCTTTTGCTCAAGGCTAGCACTCTATCACTTTGAGCCACAGTGCAATTTTCGGTTTTCTGGTAGTTAATTGGAGATAAGAGTCTCCCAAACCTTCATGCTTTGTTGGCTTTGAACTATGATCCTTAGATTTTAGCCTCCTGGGGAGCTAGGATTACAGGCATGAGCCACCAGTACCTGGCCTTGAGTACACTTCTTTTTGGACAATATCACCCCTTCCCTGGCTCTCTCCCCATTTTTACCTCCCATCCCTACCCACGAATTATATAGTTCATTTTCATCGTAGTGTCTAGTGAGTACCACTGCTGCATTTGTTCACCCATTTTTGTCTCTCCATTATTGTGCCCCCCCCACCGTAACTTCCAGAGACAGATAAATGAACAAACAAGACAAAAAGAAAACAAAACAAAGAGGAAGCCTCTTATTTCCATTTCTTGGAGTTCATTTTGATAAATGTTATATGGTCAAAGGCACATGGACATCATGCCTTTGTGTTCCTCCCAAAATGTTTTTTTGACAGTTTTAAATGTAGCATTTGTTAAGTGATTTTATGTAGAGGGTATGTAAACACATGTATATATATTTGAGTGAGTTATTTTCAAATCAGAAAATGCTATTCTTGGTAGATGGCATGTACAGTTCAGTGGTAGAGTGCACTGGTCTTTTATGTTTGAGACCATAGGTTCATTTCCCAGCAACAAAAAAAACAAACCTTAGGAACCAAATGCTAGTTATCTTGTAATCCTGGATACTCACTAGGATGAGAGCTGGAGGATTGAAGTGTGAGGCCAAGTAAAAAGTCCAAGAGATTCTATTTCTAATAACTAGCAAAAGTAGGTTTAGGTGTGGGTTTAGGCAGTGGGTTGAGTGGTAGAGCACCAGGTAAGCAAGCAAGCAAGCCAAACAAGAGTGCAAGGCCCCCAAATTGAGCCCCTACAGATATCTAAAAAATAATACAGAAGAAAAACTCAGGATGAGAGTGTAGTTCAATATTAAAGTACGTGTTAGGGGCCTTAGGTTCAGCACCAAACGATTCCAAAAGCTTATTGACCCTGGATAATTTTGGAATGTGTGACAAAACAGAACTGAACTAGTATGGGTTGAAAGTAACAATTCAAAATGATTTTTTTGATCTAGTTCAGGTTTATGTGAAATAGATTAACATTATCTTGCCCAAAATGATTTGTCTCCAGTTTGTTAAAAAAGGGCTTTTTGTCTCAGGATAACAGACTGAAAAATATTTCAATAAATTAAAGTTAAAAACGTGTATTAGAGATAAGTTGAATTAAGTATTAATTTTTAAGCCTATTCTTGGCTTTTGATGTTGAGATAGTTGATTTATGAAAGTTAATTTCTATAACTTACATTAATAAAGATAAAGTGGAAGTGTTGCTGTATTTATATTTATCAGAGGCAGAATTTTTGATCAGTTCTAGGAGTTTTTGAGAAACATTTGCAATGGTAATGCCAGAAATCTTAATTAAAATAGAATGTTAGCATTTAACTTAATGTAGCATTTAACAGTGTGGAACATTAATATTTTCTGAGAATAGAAAGATTTGTAAGTCATTATATTAATGCAGTATGAGCTGTGGATATTCTTTATTTTTTTGAAACAGGGTCTCCCTGGTTTGACCAGAATGGTCTTAAATTCAAAATCCTCCCTCAGTCTCCTGAATGTGATGTGAGCTATTGATATTCTTAGCACTTAATGGTAATTACACACATTATCAGGAGTGTTCTAAAAATGAGACCATCATACATTAACATCTTTTAAACTATTTAGTACCTTCTAAACAATCCCTTTCCTGAAAAAATAGTATCTACTTTGTTTTCTGATCAAAAGTTAACTACCAGATATAGTTTGTTTTTTTTGGTCGGTTGTGAGGCCTGAACTCTGGGCCTGGGCACTGTCCTTCAGCTCTTCAGCTCAAGGCTAGCACTCTACCACTTGAGCCACAGCGCCACTTCCCTTTTCTGCTTATGTGGTGCTGAGGAATCAAACCCAGGGCCTCAGGCATGCAAGGCAAACACTCTACCACTGAGCCACCTTCCCAGCCCACCAGGTATAGTTTTTGTTGGTGGTGGTCGTGGGGCTTGAACCCTGGGCCTAGGCGCTGTCCCTGAGCTCTTCAGTTCAAGGCAAGTGCTCTACCACTCGAGCTACAGCACCACTTGCAATTTTCTGGTGGCTAATTGGAGATAAGAGTCTCACAGACTTTCCTGCCCAGCCTGTGACTTTGAACTGTGATCCTCAGATCTCACTTCCTGAATAGCTAGGATTACAGGCGTGAGCCACTGGTGCCCAGCTTTAGGTGTATTTTTATGCTTATATTTTATTAAAGCTTTATTATAAAAACATAATACTGTAACTGATGGGAAAATAGTGCAGTATATTTGCTAGTCAGTAGCTTTTAATTTATTTTTCTCTCCAAAACTTAAAATTAGTCCTTATTGAAAATAAGTATTCCTTGTGTATATATATATATATATATTTTTTTTTAATTAATAAAAAATTGGTTTGTCATGGGTTTTGCTCAAAGCTAGTGCTCTATCACTTTGAGCCACAGCTCCACTTCCAGTTTTCTGGTGGTTAATTGGAGAGTCTCATGGACCTTATTGCCCAATTGGCTTTGAATTGTGATCCTCAGGTCTCAGCCTCCTGAGTAGCTAGTATTATATGCATGAACCATGGCTTGTGTAATTCTTTTTTTTTTTTTAAACCTTATGTTCTTTTTTTTGGGGGGGGGGTCCTGTCGTGGGGCCTGACCGTTGGGTCTGGGCGCGAACCCTCAGCTCTTCAGCTCAAGGCTAAGCTTTAAGAAGCACAAAAATTCACCAGTTAAGAATATTGAGAAATTCTTTAAACTAGAACATTTGAAGGAGTTTTGAAATTTAGATATTTAAAATTGTCATTGTTGTCATTAGAATTCCCATTATCTCTTCCTCTCTCAAAAACACTAGCCAAGGGCTGGTTGCTGTTTTCCCTTGGTAATAGTGCAGTACCTGATGGCAATTGTATTCTTCATAACTGTTTGTTTATTTTTAAGGCCATGGTAGGGGAGGAGTGTGTAGGTGCCATCGTTTGCAAGTTGGATATGCACAAAAAGATGTTCCGCAGAGGTTATATAGCCATGTTAGCCGTGGATTCCAAATACAGGAGAAATGGCATTGGTAAGGAAAATATTTCACTAAAAACATGAATAAGTTATTTTCAGTTTTGTGTTTTGAAAAAGACTTAACTGTAAAAATGTAGAAATGAACTTGAAGGTAAGGGAAGAACTTAAGATTTTTATTTCAAAATAATATTTGCAAAAAGTTTTGAGTCTTCCTGCTTTTAAGTATCTAACCCTTTGAAAAGCTGACACTGTTAAAATATATTAATCATATTAGTGCAGAGCTATGACATTGAGCTGTAATTTTGAGACATGATCTCAAAAATGAATTATTTTCTTAACGTCTTAAGCTTTTTTTTTTTTTTTTTGAGACATGTAGTTGCCCGGGCTGCTGGCCTTGAACTTCAGGGTTCAAGTGATCCCCTGCCAAGGCTTCCCAAATGTTGAGACTGCAGTCATGTACTACTGTGTAAGGCCTATATGTAAGGCTTAATTGCCTTTTTGAAATAATTCTATAGCTTTCAACTGACATTTTTACTGAATTCGGCTTGGTTTATACGGCAAGTTTGAATCTGATGCATTGGAAAGTACTGAGGACTCATGAAAAATGATAGGCATTTGTCTGATGAATGCCAAAAGCAAAAAACAATGACTTAGACATTTTGTGTGAAATGCATGCATATTTTTATGTGTAGTTTGAAAAATAAGAGATTTTAAAATATTGGCTTAATGAACTCAGATTTTGCAATTTTTTTCCTTTTGCTTTCTCACATGTATCTGACATATGTTAACTTTTGCTAGATGACACCATGAGAGGTGCTAGACTTTGTTGTATCCATGCTTACTATAGAGTTTGCAAGAATTGACTGTCTTGGCCCATTCTTGCACAGTGAGTTGTTGTAAGGCTGTCCTGTGCCTGTGTCAGTGGTTTAGAAAGTCTTTGGCAAGATCAGCTCAGGTCATGCAATAAATTTCGGGCCAGCTCAAGGAATTCCTAGGTTTCTTTGTCTATAGCATAACTTGCTTTTTTCTTTTTTCCTTTCTTGTACTTTCTGGCAGAATAAAATTCTTACGTGGAGCAAATAATTCTGTCGAGAGAGGTCTTTTAAGAAGAATCTTATTGTGTGTAGGTTCTCTTGACTTTTTTGATCTTGTATCAATTTTTTTCCCTCAATTTAACATGCATGTTCAGTATATTTGCATTTAAGATAGAACCTTACATTTGATACTTATGTGTTTAATGAATATCATAATTTAAGTTCTTTAAGTAGCTTAGTTATATTTTTCCTTTATTAATACTCTGATCTATATTCTAGGTACTAACTTGGTTAAGAAAGCTATATATGCTATGGTTGAAGGAGACTGTGATGAGGTAAGTCTTAACTGCTTAGTATGTTTATCCCTAGCTGTTTTCTGGGTGTTAAAAAAATAAACATTCTATAATTTTTTTTTTTTTTTTGTCAGTGGTGGGGCTTGAACTCGGCTTGAGCTCTGTCCCTCAACTCCTCAGCTCAAGGCTAGTGCTCTACCATGAGCTGGTTAATTATAGAGAAGAGTCTCTCTGACTTTCCTATCTGTCCTGGCTTCAAATTGCAATCCTCAGATCGTAGCCTCCTGAGTAGGTAGAATTACAGGAGTGATCCACCAGCACCAGGCTTATCACTGATTTTCTTCTCTTTTTTCTTTTTTCTTTTCTGGTGGCTGGAAAAATATGCTTCACAAATATGTATCATCCTTGCGCAGAGGCCATGCTATTCTTCTCTGTATCATTCCAATTTTTAGTATATGTGCTGCTGAAGTGACCATTTACTACTTATTTTCTTCCTCTTCCTCCTCTTCTTTCTCCCCTCCCCCTCCTTCTCTTCCTCCTCTCCTGGGGCTTGAACTCAGGGCCTGAACACTGTCCCTGAGCTTCTATTGCTAGCACTCTACCATTTGAGCCACAGTGCCACTTCTGGGATTTTCTGCTTGTGTGATACTGAGGAATTGAACCAAGGGCTTCATGAATGCAAGGCAAGCACTACTATTAAGCCACATTCCAAGTCCTTATCACTCATTTTCTAAGCATATTTTTATGCTGTTTTATACAAGTGAAGTTATTTTGTAATGATAGCTTTTTTTTTGTTGGTGCCAATACTGGTTAATTGGAGATAAAACTCATGGACTTCTTTGTTCCAACTAGCTTCATACTATGATACTCAAATGTCAGCCTCCTGCGTAGCTAGTACAGGCACGACCACCAATACCAGCAACAATTCCTTTTATTTAAGAATATTCCATTCATTTCCATGTTAAAATACAAACAAACATGTTAGCCAATTATATCAAATTAAACCTTGTAAACTTACTGTCTTTCCCTTTCCTCTTTTAATTTTTGGTAGTAATGTGTTTATTGCTTGTATTTCCTCGTATTACCATTTGATCCCTTTTGGTTTTGCCTCTCCTTTCACTACAGTGCAACTACTTTCTCAATGAGGTGTTTGAATTCCTTCCTTCCTTCCTTCCTTCCTTCTTTCGTTCTTTCTTTCACTAGTCCTGGGGCTTGAACTCGGCCTGAGCACTGTCCCTGAGCTTCTTTTGCTCAAGGCTAGAACTCTACCACTTGAGCCATTGTGCCCCTTCTGGCTTTTTCTGTATATGTGGTACTAAGGAATTGAACCCAGGGCTTCATTTGCTTATGCAAATGCTACTTATTTCTAGTGACATACAAGTTAATGCACATACTTAAAAAGCAGTAAGAATATAAAGAATATTTTATCAGCAATAATGACTAGATCAGTTTGTTAGGAACCAAGGAAATCTAAGATGTTTTCTGATTAAAGTAGCCATGTAATTAGGGTGGAATGGACAGGGTATCCTTTTTTTTCTCTAACTTTTTCTTTGGAATGGGGGTAATTCCTTTAAAAGCTTTTTAAAATTTACGTGTGCATATATTATAATTTAGTACCTTAATTTCACTTATTGCTTTCAGGGTTTTTTTTTTGTTGTTGTTGTTGTTGTTGTTTTGGTCAAGGGGCTTAAACTTTGGGCCTGAGTACTGTCCCTCAGATCCTCCACTTTTCTGGTGGTTTATTGGAGATAAGAGTTTCACAGCCTTACCTGCCCAGGCTGGCTTTGAACCACAATCCTCAGATCTCAGCCTCCTGGGTAGCTAGGATTACAGACATGAACCACTAGTGCCCGGCTTTGTTTTCAGTTTTATACCTCATTACACTATTAACAGCTTTTAGTGAGTTTCCTTATGCCATCTTTACACACAGATGCAGTGTATTTTGATACTTATTTGTCCTCCATCCTCTTTCCTTCTCCCTCTTCTTTCTCTCCCCCTAAAGAATCCCACAGTTTATCCATGTTATGTGTATATATATTTATATATGTATATATGTGTGTGTGCGCGCATGCATTGTGTGAGTATATATGTTATTTAAGTCTGGATTTCAAAAATGAGTGAAAAAGTGGTACTTGCCTGGACTGTAGCTGAAATTCTGGATCTCATACCTCACTCAGTGTTCTTACTTAACAGCTGGCATTCTACCAACTGAACCATGTATCCATTCTGGCATTTTACTAATTAATTGGAGATGAAGTCTCTTAGACTTTATTCCCCAAGCTGGCTTCAAATCAAGATCTCCAGATTACAGCCTCTATATAGCCAAGCTTATAGGCATGAGCCACTAGCACCTGGTGATATTTGGCTTTTTGAACTTACACTCAACATGAAGATGTCTAGTTCCATACACATTTCTACAAATGATATAATTCTTTTTTGTTGTTGTTGGTGGTGGTGGGGCTTGAACTCTGGGCCTGAGCACCATCCTTCAGCTCTATCAGCTCAAGGATAGAGCTCTACCACTTGAGCTACAGTGCCACTTCTGGTTTTTGGTGATTTATTGGAGATAAGAGTTTCTGGGCTGGGAAGGTGGCTCAGTGGTAGAGCGCTTGCCTTGCATGCATGAGGCCCTGGGTTCGATTCCTCAGCACCACATAAACAAAAAGAAAAAAAGCCAGAAGTGGCGCTGTGGTTCAAGTGATAGAGCGCTAGCCTTGAGCTGAAGAGCTGAGGGACAACGCCCAGGTTCAGAGTTCAGGCCCCAGGACTGGACCCAAAAAAAAAAAAAAAAGTTTCATGGACTTTCCTGCCTGAGCTGACTTTGAACCACGATCCTTAGATCTCAGCCTCCTTAGTAGCTAGGATCACAGGCATGAGCCACCGGCCCCCAGTTATAATACAATTTTTTAAGAAAATGAATTTATTCATAATTTTTAGTTCCAACCAGCTTACAAATACACTTTGATGCTATAGCTTTACAGGTAGCAAAATAGTTGACCTAACACTCATAAATACAGTCACACCCACTAATATTTGTCTGCCTCAGTTATTCTTTTAATGTCATAAAAAAGCAATTGCAAATAGACTGCAAGGTATATGTGGGCACAAAGGCAATAAAGTGAATCTCTTGAAACACTAAAATATAACATGTTATCAGCATGATTCACATTAAAATGATAATGACATTCCTTTTAAAGAATAAGTTTATCAATAAAATATAATTTAATACTCTGGTATTGTACTTTATAATCTATAAGTAAATTAAATGTAGGTCTATAATAAAGGACCCTTTTCATTAACTTATTATTAATAAAAGAGCCATAATTAAGTCTTAAATAGGCAAAATGATTACATGGGTTGAGGCATAGGATGAAAATTTGTAAAAATTAGTTTGATATACAGAAAATGTGTCATATATAACAGCAAAGTTAAGTAACACATTAAAAATCATCTCTTTAATATTTTTTGTCTTGTAAACTTCCCATAATGAAAAACAAACTTTAGTGATGGAAGACTAAATAAATTGTATTTTGGAACTTATTTTTCAAGAGGAAGAAGGTATATGATTTCAATAAAATTAAAGGCATAGATCCTAAGAAAGGCTTCTTAAAAAACTTCATTTTTCTTTATGACTGTATGTGAGTCTTGGTGTCTTGTTTTATTTATTCCTTGGTTAAAGAGCACTTCTGTTGATTGCATAGTTTGGCTGTTGTGAACAGAGCTCCAGTAAACATGGGTATGCAGGTAGATTACTGTACTTTCTTTCAGATACATGCCCAAGAATGGTATGGTGGGCTTCTTGAGGAACCTCCATGATTCTCGTAGTGATTGGACGACCCATCAACAGTATATAAGGAATTTCTACCCTCACTCCCCCATCTTTTAATGCTCATCAGCATTTTTTGTTTTCTTATTGATAACCATTCTGACTCGGTTGTTATATTCTTCATGTATCAGTCTTTTGTGTTTCTTTTTCTGAGAACTGTGTCCAATTCATTTGTCCATTTATTATTGGGTTATTCATTTACTGGGTTTTTTTGTGGGGTTTTTTTTTTTGAGCTCTGTATATTCTGGATATTAAACCTTTATCCATTGAATAGGTAGCAAAGATTTTCTCCTACTGGGGTTACTTTTGGTTTTGGTCATTATTTCTTTTGATGTACAGAAACGCAGTCTCATTAAACTATTTTTACCCTTTATTTTCTGGGCAATTGGAATTCTACCCCCAAAATAATTAACCTGTATTTATACCTTCCAGTTTCAGATGTTGCGTTTAGAGTTTTGATCTATTTGGAGTTTTGGATTTTTTTGTTTGTTTTTTAACAGGGAGAGAAAAATAGAGCTTCAGTCTGTCTCCTATATGTAGCCAGTCTGTTTTCTTAGCACCATTTGTTGAAATGGCTATGTTTTCTCCCGTGTGTGCTTTTTGCTCCTTTTTGAAAAATTAGGTGACTGTAGTTAAGTGTTGTATTTCTTGTGTTTTTTTGTTTGTTTGCTTTGGTTGTTTCATTGGGTTTTGTGTCTGCTTTTGTGCTAGTATCATGCTTTTTGTTATTGTGGCTCTGTAATGCACTTTGAAACTTGGTATTGTGTCACCTCCTGTTTTGTTTGCTCTAAAGATATTTTATGTTTCCATATGAATTTGAAGGTTGATTTTTCATATTTCTGCTAATGCCATAGAGATTTTATAGATATCACATTGAACAACACCCTGCTTATTTTATTTTTCAAGTCTATAGTGAATGGGATTTTCTTTCTTATTTCTTTCTCTGCCTGACCATTGTTGATATTAATAAAAAAACAAAAAACAAAACCCAAAACTATCCAGCTGGGTGCTAAAGCCTGTAATCCTAGCTACTCAGGAGGCTGATAGCTGAGGATTTCAAAGCTAGCCCTTGCAGGAAAGTGAGACTATCAATCTCCATTTATCTACCAAAAGGGCTAGAAGTAGAATTGTGGACTCATGTGGTAGAGTTCTAGCCTTGAGCAAAAATACCTCAGGGCTAGTGCCCAGGCCCTGAGTTCAAACCCCAGGATTAGCA